TTGTCCTATGTTTCTAATTCTGCTTTATGGTGGCCTTAGTACATTGTATGACTGTTGGTTTTCATGTTCTACTGTCTCCATATCTATCATATTACTGCAATTGGTTTTTGTTGGAACTTTACCCTAGCTTTGCTCTTATTATATTTTATATCATGCTATGGTTTTGTGTATTTTGCTGTTGTTTAATTCTGTTGGACTAATTGTTGTTTGTCGTGCTCTTATGGTTTGTTTTGGGGGTTCTTATGGGCTTTGGTTGTTTTCTGGTTATGCCTCGATGGGTTGTGGTCTTGTGGGTGCCTTTTCTTTTCAATTGGTTAGTCATGGGTGAGCCTTCAAAACGTCGTAAATCCACTGTGTCCTGCCCAAGTTACAACACTGAAAAATTTGAATCCAAGGAAAAATCCAAACTATTTAGGGAGTTCTATGCCTCTAGGAAAGTTCATCTCGAATGGAATGTCTTTCCTAGTGCTTTTAAGTTGCTTTCCATCCGTTCGTTGTTTGATTCTTTAGGGGGTGATCAAGTTTTGCTTTTCTCAAGGCCTCAAAATCTTAGTCTGGTCCGTGAATTTTATTATAATATGCATTCTATCCGCAAAGAAAATGCTCCCTCTTTTAGCACCTGGGTTAGGAAAAAATCTTTGGTCGTCATTGACGAAGTTTTTCTACTGTTTCTTGGTCTTCCGAAAGTCTGAAATTTTCATTTTCCTTTCCTTACTCGGAGTGGTGTTGATTTTGATCGCATTGCCACTGAACTTTGTGGTACTCCCCAGTCTTGGATTGCCGAGGCGCTCATTCAGTAGAATGAGCTTCTTCCTGGCTTTCTAATGACTCCAAAGATTAAAAAAATAGACCTATTACCTAATTTTCCTATTTATAAATAGGCAACTTACATAGAAAAGTGGGTCGACCATGATAATATTTTGGGCCCATAAAAAAAATTAAAACATATTCTATTTTGGGCCATTTACTATTAAGTCACATACACAAAATTCAAAATTTATTTAATCCCAAAACAAAACACTTGTACCAATTAGTCTTTCATATTTTTAATTGTTACCAAAAAATCATATTTTTTTTAATAAATTTAAAAGCGCTGCTACATTCCACCACTATCGGACTTTCGTCAAACGATCACTGGAGCCTCGCCGGAATGTTCAACATCACCAGGAAGTCACTGGAGTATCGCTAGAAGTTCATTAGAATATCGTTAGAGTGTTTTGAACATCACTGGAAGTCGTTGGGATGTCAAAAATATTCGTTAAACATCAAGAACATCAAGAACTTCTTGTTTGACACTTCTCTTCATTAGTGGACTTAATTCTCACTTTTGGACTAAAATGACTAAATACTGGAAAGGTATTGAAAAGAGGCAATAAAATTGGACTAAAATGATACAAGATAATAAAATCAAGTTGGGTTTAATCGGACGTTAATTGAGCCCATTGAGTCTTGAGTCATTTCATACTTTTAGTGATGATAATGGCTCAAGAATCAATGTTAACCACTTCCCTTGATCAATTCCATGATAGGGAGGAGGTTTTGTTGGTCTTTATTTTTCAGTTATTGAGCCTCTGTCCAATCGAGTCATGCATCATCATCTAATAACCTTGTGGCCATTGATGATTTGTGAACCGATTCTATCGCTCCCTTGATCAGTTTGATGATAAGGAGAGGCAGGGTGGACAGACATCCTCTGAAAGCACTCTATTTTTGCTCTATTTCTTTTCTGATGCAGCAGGGTAGTATCAAAATTAGTGGCCGATCGGCCACCATTTGAATCCGGCCGACCACTTTCCTTGGCCAGCCAACCACCTCTTTTCAGCCAGGCATTGTCATTTTCCTACAAAACAGAGCAGAAGCTGAGGCAAAAACAGAAGTATTTTCTGCAGACAGAACAATTCTGGTAGCAAAACAAAGGCATTTTTGGGAGGATGTTCGCATTAGCACGTGTGATTCCTTGACGCCTGCTCGATTTTAATTAGTTAGCTTAGTTAATTGATTAGTTAATTCTTTTTGAACTTGTAATAGTTAATTACTTAGTTAAATAATTCTGTGTTGTAATTAATTAGTTAGTTTAAATCTAATTTGTAATAAATAGTTAGTGTAGCTAGTTATTTCGGTGTTGTATAATTAGTATAAAGTAGGACACTTATTCGGACTCTCTTATATGAGGGAAAAATTGTAATAATGTGTGTATGTCTTCTAACCTCCATTTCTTTTTTCCTTTTATTTACTCGCGTATGATGGATAAAATAGAGCATCATGTTTTAATTAGAATTTTCCATGACCTGCATCTATTCATCTTACGTGCATAAGGTTTCGTCTCATTATACTAATAAATGTCAATTTCAATCCTTACTCGAATATGTGTTTTACGCATGCCTTGAATTGACTCACATGCCATATTAGGAAGCCAAATCCGACAGTCGTATTTGTATATGTTGCATAGTCATTTTACATCGTTAGGATTATGTATTTCTTTTAACAATTTTATTTCTTTTTGGCTTGCCTCGATTGAATACTAGGTGAGCATTTTCTCTTGAGCATATTGCATATGTGTAATTGTTGCCATATCAAGCATATTATCATGAGATTAAGTGCTTAAGTGATATACTTGTTTGAATGCTTGTGGATGAAGGTTAATTACTTAAATTGTGATGATTTGATTAATGTACATATGAGTACACTTTTTCAAGTAGCACATATTCAAACTCTTTCAAATTAAACATAAAATCAAAGTTTTCTAAATTTTACAAATTAGTCTATACTTGTGTGCAACACATAAAATTAGCCTAATAATCGAAACAAGAGCATATAATGCAAAATAAGAAGGGTAAACGACCAATAGGTCCTAATAGTTTGACTTAATTCCCATCAAGTCTTATTGAAAATAAGTTTTGGTAAAATTGTTGCTAAAAATAATTTTTTGTGACAATTTTTTATATATGTCGCTAGAAATTGACAATTAGTGTCTTTTTTTTGTCGTGATTTTTATAAATTGTCGCTAAAACTTACAATTAGTGACTTTTTTTATGACAAATTTTTTCCATAGGACCTATTCAACAATAAGTCCATTTATTAGGACCTACACGTAAGTACCCCAAATAAGAATCACATCATGATTAGTAGAGGCCGACTTTTGATTGGGCGAGTGGGGTGCTCAATTCATGACCTTCCCCTCTCGTACTTAAGTTCCCGAGCTGAGACACTTTGGTGATAACGGATAAATGGCACTTGGCAATGACGGATAAAGTGGCATTTGGCATGAATCTCAAGTTTTCTAAATTTCTCAAAAATATTTAGATGGCAACTGTAAAATCTGGCAAAGCAGTCTATTTTTGATATTTTTTATTCAAAATTGATTTTTCAAAAAATTTGCCAAATTTGGACTCATTTGTGTTTATTTATTTCACATTGTACTTGTGAAATCATATTCAGAATCACAGGAGTCTGAACTATAGGACTATCGTATCTGAAAGAAAACGAAAAGCAAGCTATAGTCGTAGTTAACAAGTTCTGACCGGTCGTTCAGACGATCGTCTGGTTGGACGATCGTATACACAATTTCTATGCTTAGATTTTTGTTCGGTCGTTTGTGTGGCTAGACTTTTTAAAAAAAGAAAATGATTCATCTATAAATAATAATAATAATAATAATAATAATAATAATAATAAAAAATATTATACACATCGCATACTATATATATCATTAGTTATGCTATTTTTTTCATTTACTTATGACATTATTTTGAGATATTTAATCATGATTTTTTTAATTATAATTCAAAAAATATAAATTTATATCATTTTTTATTCTATAATTATAAAGGTTACGTTTGGTAGAGTTTTCAAAAGTTAATTTCATCCCATGATTTGAGTGTGATGTTTGGTTAAAGTTTTCAAAATTGATTCCATACCACTGTTGAAAACACGTCTACCTAGACGTCCGGTCGGTTGATCGGAATAGTGTTCTTTTTTTTTTTTTCTTTTTTGCACATGTAATTTTTATGTTTTAAATAAAAAATATTTTTGAAAATTTTAAAACTTTTTATGAGTTTTGAATAAAATTTTGGATTGTGTGTTTAGTTATGAGTTATAAATTTTTAAATCAAATATCATATGTCACATCAAAAATTTTAAACTCAATTCAAAACTCTTTTTAAAATTCATAACCAAACAATTTTTTCACACTTAAATCACAATTCTAAAACTCACAAACTCAAAATATAATTTTATTCTCAAATCATAATTTTAAACCTCTATCAAACGTTACCAAAATGTATATAGCACACTATTGTCTTTCCCTCAATAATATAGCAGTATATTAATTAAAAAAAATATTACCAACAGTTCAGCGCTCAGACTGTTTTGTAGGAGAGATCCATGTTTTGCCTTGATTTTGAAGACATCTTGAATATTTATAAAATAAAATAAAAAAGTTATATGACAATTTATTTAATTAAACACATTCAATTTTTTTTTTAATTTTTTTTCTAACACCAAACATATTTACAATTTACTTAATTTTTTTTATTAATCTAAAAAATATCAGAGAAGACCAATGTCTATAAACAGGAGAATTTTATTATACACATTTTCATACACATTTCATATTATATGCTCTCTTAATTATGATTAATTTTTTTTTTTAATTATGACATTATTTTAAAATCTTTGATACCCTCTAAAAATTATAATTCAAAAAATATAAATAAGGTGCATTGGTTGTGCACCTTATTTATATTTTAAAATCTTTAATTATAATTCAAAAAATATAAAATTATATTATTTTATACTTTAATTATAAGGTGCATTGGTTGTGCACCATAGTCTTTTCCTATAAATAAGTCCTGATAAGAAACTTTTTTTTGAACGAGACTCACAAGAAACTAGATAATCAACTTCTTCTTTTCTTGCAACATATGGATCTCTTTGTGTTTACATCCACATTATCTCCCACATTGCTCTACACATCTCTTTGTCTCATCATAATCACCATTCTATTCCTCTTCTTCACCACCAGTACTCCTCCTCCAAAGCTCCCACCAGGCAAAACAGGATGGCCTGTTATAGGAGAAACCCTAGATCTCCTCTTGATATGCCGAAAGGGTTACCCCGAAAAATTTCTACACGACAGAATGGAACGACACTGCCCGGACATATTCAGAACCTCTCTGCTTGGTGACAGTAAAAAGACCTTCTTTTGTGGTCCAACCGCGCACAAGTTCTTGTTCGCCAACGAGAATAAGCTAGTCGGGGCTTGGTGGCCAAAGTCTTTCAACAAAATATTCTTGTCGGAGGGTGCTTCTGCTCTGAACTCTCTTGCTACCTCAACGGTCTGCATCCGTGCAAGTCGAGGAATCAAAGAGAGTCCGGAACTTGATTTCCGGGTTTTTGAAGCTGGACGCGATTCAGAAGTAGATACCGGTTATGGATACTGCGGCGAAGCACCATATAGAGAATGAATGGGCTCCAAAGGGGGATAATGTGGTGGTTATTGATATGGCTAAGAAGTTTACTTTTGAGTTGGCTTGTCAACTTCTATTGAATGTTACAGACTCTAAGCAGGTAAGATTAAGATGTTGATTGTTTGGCTGATAAAAAAAAAAAAAAATGTTGATTGTTTGGTGATGGTTAACTAGCTAATATAAGATCTAAACTAATAACCGAACGCAAGTTTGGGAATTAGTTTTCTTAAGTTAAAAATTCAATTATTCTCTTTACTTTTCGACATATTGTTTTAAAAGAAATCAAAAAATTAAGTAAAATAATTAATTCTCAAAGTAACTTTGAATATCTCTTTATCTAACACTTGGCAAAAAGTTATTAGGAGTGTGAATTTGTTCAGTCGGAACAAAACACACTTCCCTATTGTTCAATTTTACATTTTTTTTTTTTTAAAACCACTTCATTGATTTGACCAATGGAGGAATATGTTTTGTTCACATTGCGGGAACAAATTTGCACTTTTATTGGATTCTTTTTCATAAGTAAGTCAAACACGTGTAAGTATTTTTAATTATCAGGGAGACAATGTGATTTGAATACAAATTTGATTGTATGCTCTAATAGGATATTCAATTGTTGACCATCAAATCATAAATAATATTATTATTTATATTATTTTCTTAATAGGGAGAAATACCATCAATTTTATTGATTTCATAGGTAAATGTTACTTGTAATTTGTCCTAATAAATTAGAAAAAATAATTGAGATAATTATTACGAAATGATTTATTGATTTTACTTACTACTAATGTTTTTCATAACATTTATCTAAGTAGTTGTCATTTTTGTGGGGAAGCTCTGTAAAAAATAAACGCAATTGAAGAAATGGCTTTGGATTTTGAAAAACATTACTGTCACACTATTTTATAACAATTGGATTGACGATATGTGAGCCGATGTGTGTAGGTGGCGAAATTTGACAATCGATTTGGCAACGTGATAGCTGGGATGATGTCTGTGCCAATAGATTTTCCAGGCACAAGTTTTAACAGAGCCATTAAGGACGCGAATCTGATCCGCAAGGAGCTATTGACGCTGATAAAAGAGAGGAAAATGGCTGTACAACAAAAAAACGACGACTCGATCATCATTCGAGACCTGCTGTCACACTTGCTCGTCACACCAGATGAGGATGGCAAGCTCATGAATGATGTGGAAATTGCTGACAAGATCGTAGGCCAACTCATTGCCGGCTATGATACTGCGTCTACTACCATTACTTTCATCCTCGAGTATCTTGCTGAGTATCCCTATTTCTACAATGAAATCTTCAAAGGTAATATACACTACAATTAATCCATGTCTTTCGATACTTACTATTCTTACAATGTTTTGATATATTTCCAGAACAAATGGAGATAGCAAAATCAAAAGAACCAGGACAATCGCTAAATTGGATGGACATCCAAAAAATGAGGTACACTTGGCATGTAGCATGTGAAGCAATGAGGCTAGCACCACCTGCTCCACTAGCTTTCAAGGAGGCTCTAACCGACGTCACTTTTGCGGGTTTTACTATCCCAAAAGGATGGAAGGTATATATGTTTTTACTAACAGTTCTACTTCTCTTTAGTTCGGATTTCGAATTGGAGAATTTATTCTCTAGCATACATATAAAATTCAAATTTGAATATGATTAAAAAATCTTACCCATTTAATATTTGGAGGAGGGAATCTTCCTCCTTAATATTTTACGGGCTAATGGATTTTGTGGATGTGTGAATAAATCTAGGCCTTCGATCTATAAATAAATGATGACTTGTAGTGCTCAAGTCTGGATCAGAATTGGAGAGAAATTGTTTCGTTTTATTAAAAGTTTGGCAAACAACTGTTTTGGGTATTAATAAAACAAAAAAGGAATCCCAAGAGGCTAGACGAGAGTAAGACTCGCCGTTTGTAAGGAGCTTGCTCTTCACAAGTTCAATTCCCCTCGCTAGCAACTCTTGGGGCCACCTCCTCTCATGTGCAAGCTTAGTGAAATGATTGTGGAAAAGGCTGTAAGTACTTAATTTAGTGCACGCAAGCTAGCCTGGTACTTGTTATGGTGCACACAAGTTGGCCAAACAAAAAAGAAGGGAATAACACTAGATTTTTTTTATCAATTTCAAAACACTTTTCATCAATTCTAGAAAAATTTTAAATCTTTCTACACTTTTCTTCATCCCAATTCTGATGTTAATCTATGCTTTGAGACATTTGTCAACCTTTGTCTTTTAATTAAAGGTTTTGTGAGCCAAATAATTGGAACATGTGCCTTCTAATAATTTCGTCGAATTACTTTTGTTGCAGACATGTTAGAGCGTGCACTCAACTCACAAAAATCCTGCATTCTTCCCAAATCCAGAGAAATTTGATCCAACAAGGTTTGAAGGGGATGGACCGTTACCATTTACTTTTGTACCTTTTGGAGGAGGACCTCGGATGTGCCCTGGAAAAAGAATATGCCCAATTGGTTATACTTGTTTTTATGCATAATCTGGTGACAAGGTTCAAATGGAGCAAGTTAATCCCAAATGATAAAATAATATTCAAACCAGTACCATTTCCTGAAGGTGGCCTCCCAATTTGCCTCCACCCCCATAAAAATTGAAGGCACATTGCCATTTAGTAACTCAATAATATAGTTCAGGTTGGTTATGTATTAGCTAGTTTCTCTGCATGAATGTTGGTTGGATCGGTCATATTGTACTATATAGAATGAAAAGTGAACCTATTCCTTTAGTTGTCCTTTGGTCATTCTGAAAGCGTTGGGTAACATTTATGTTTTTTATGATTTATATTTATAAAAATTTTATAAATTGATTTTTGTTTATTTTTAAAAAAATATAAACTACAAACGCGTTTAATTTGAACAAAATGTTTGAAATTTTTTAAAAGCATAAACTAAAAAATATGTTTGTTCAAGCCTAAAATATTTATATTTATTTTTTATTATTTATGACAATGGAATCATACACATTATAATTGGAAAAAAAAATTAATTGAAGAAAAAATTAATTGAAAAAAAAATTTGTTAGTCAAAATTTTAAATTTATGTTTAAAAACCAACGAGTTTACGTTTTTTCCTCAAATTTACAAACTGAGATAACCATTTATAAACCAAAAAAAATTATCAAACAAGTTTTTAAAATAGTTTTTAAATTTTTTGTAAATATAAATTGAAAATTGAAAACGAAGTGATTACCAAACAGACTCTAAACATTAATGTTAAAAAAAAAAAAAAATGCCCAACATGTAAAAAATTAAAAAAAAAAAACAAATAAAACAAAAAATTTTAATTAATAAAAAATACAAAAAATTAAACATTAATGTTTTAAAAAAATGCCCAACATGTGAATAATAAATAAAAATAAAAAATAATTTGGCAGATTATTTTTCTAATACCATCTCTATCTCCACCTCCTTCATCCCAATCCCCCTTCCAAGGAAATACTATTTTTTTTTTTTTTGGTATGTGTGTGCAGTGGCGGAGTCAGGAAATTAAATTAGGAGGGACACTTAATTACACTTTTATTTTTAATTACGGTGGTGCTACTTGCACCAATTAGTATACTCACTAGTGTACGAGCTAGTGTTATTATATCATTAATGATTCTATTTATTATATAAATTACAAATACCCAAAACCTCTAAAATTATACAGTAGTAGTTACACTAGTATGTACACCAATTAGTGCATATAACATTATTATTTTTTTTTTCATAACCAACAATAACAAGATAATAATAGTTTTTGAATTAATATTAAGCACAAAAAATTAAATAAATTGTTATAAAAGTGTTTCACATAAAATTTTACGATTAATTTCGAGTAAAATCGAAAAGAAAGTATTGCGTGTAACTAGTATATCATGGATAATATAAAAAATTCATATATTTTAGTCGTAAAATAAATTATATAATGGTAAGATAAACAAATTTTGACAAAATTTGAGTAAAAATTTCATATAATAGTGATATCACGTCATTATTGACATATGATATTACCAACCAATAGTAAAACAATATATGAAGGGTGAATTCCACATGAAAATATAACTAATACTCTAGTAATTTTTACATATATATAGTGAGATTAATTATATTTATTTATTAATAATGATGGATATTATCTTTATATTGAGATTTTTTCACAGAATTTTCATAGATAAAAATATAATTTGTTATAGTCACTTCATTTTTAATGAAACAATCACTATTGTTTTCATAAATTTAAAAATGCCCTTAATATTTTATTTTAAATATTATTTTTATTTAAAATTTTATTTATATACATATGTATAAAAAAAAATTAAAAAAAATTAAAAAATCCAAAACTGGAAAACAATTCTGGGATCCGGAACTTCAATTGGATAAAAAATCCAAAAATTTAAAAATTCAAAACCTCTTCAATTTTATAACCGTTGGATTAGATTATCTAACCGCTCAATTGGAGCTCTCAATTGGAGGACACCAACGACTCTTTAAGTATAACTTTTGTATGCATAATACATTCATTTGTAGGGCCTTTTTTTATTTAAAAAAAAATGCTATGCCTTCCATTTATTTGACACGTAACCATTAATACGACTTGAATTATACAAGTAATTAAATATTATTGGATATTTAAATATTGGAAAACCTTGGTGCATATTATATGCACCCTATTACAAATTGACATAATTTTATCATAAAATTTTATAATATCAATCACAAAATATATAATCTTATCACAAATTAACGTAATAAAAAATATCGTAATCAAGTTACAAACTTTTATTACATATGAATCACAACATTTTAGATATTTTATTACGCTAATTTGTTGTAAGATTATATATTTTGTAATTGATGTTATAAATTTTTGTGATAAAATTACGCCAATTATGATAGGGTCATATGGAGCGTGTACCATAGGTTTCCTATCGAATTGCAGTCATATATGCGTTTTGGAAAATGTTATGGTGTGTTCACGCTCTAAATATATAATTTTATCACAAAATTTCATAATATTAATCATAAAATTATAACCTCATTACAAATCGGGATAACTAAAAATATTGTAATCAAATTATAAATTTTTGCAACATCAATCATAAAATTTAAACATTTTGTTATGCCAATTTATAATAAGATTACGTATTTTGTGATTGATATTATAAAATTTTATAATAAAATTATACATTTTGTAATAGGAATCCTACCATATGGAGAACCCATACGTTTTTTAGAAAGTGAGACGTTTGGAGTTTCCCCAGTGCTCTCTACATTTGGTTAAGTTATCAGAATTGATTTTTTTTTTTAAATTTAATAATTAGTTTGGTCAAATATTATTTTTCTTAAATCAGTCATTATTTTCATAGGATTTTCTCTGTTTTTGACGTCAAACTAATTTCTAATTTTTCAAAAAACAAATTCAAGAAATAAGTTATAAAAACTAACCAAATGGAGCAAGTTTTGATTTGTTTTCTATTCCACAACACTGTATTAGCAAAAGGGGAGCTTCTAGCATTTATAATTTTGTTTTGCTTTTTAAATTTGTGTTGGTGTTTCCTTAACTGTTTCTCATTATTATTATTGAAAATTTTGTTTGATTTGTGTTCATACAGTACAGTGATAGCACACTGGATTTGATGTATCTGTAGGAGATTCATTTTTGATGATATATGGTGAATTAATCACTGAAATTCAATAGCAGCTTCTTGTTAGAAGCAATTATGGAAAGTATTGTTTGTTGAAAGTGTCCTTGGCTGTTTTAGTGAAGGAATACAAACAAGTACACGGAACGGAAGGAACTTGAAGATCAAACTTGAGCTTTGATATTTGTGGAGACAGGAGCCAAGAATTTAGTAAATCATATATTTGAGCGACTTGTGATTTGGAAAATGATATTAGGAAGTTAAGGTAGTTAATCATATATTTGGAGGATTTGTGCTTTATGTCTTGGACAGCCCTGACTTCAGGTTCACCTGAAGGAGCTTCAACAATGGTTGCCTATCCAAGGGTTCTTTCATGGATTGTAGGTTCAGCGTACGGACTAGCTTTCTTGTTATTCTTCACTTCATTGCTTCTGGTCACACAACCAATTGGGCCTACTGTTCGTTGGAACTTGTATGGTGTTGATAATTTGCGGGAATTTAATTCAACGTCTTGGAGCAATAAAACAATTTGTGATTCTTTCAACTATGGTAATAACAAATATTTGAGAAAATTTGATGTAGTGGTGTCGGGGTTAAATGAAACTGAAAGTAATTCCCGACACAATGATGATGGAATTGATGATTCTTCTTCTATAAAGGCAGACTCAACAATGTCAGGGAACAATCAATCTGTTGTTGGCAGCATAGGTGGGATGGATGAGAATCAGACTTCGAAGTCTGATTCTCATCCATCCCACCTATGCTGCCAACAACAGATTGATTGTTCCCTGACATTGTTGAGTCTGCCTTTATAGAAGAAGAATCATCAATTCCATCATCATTGTGTCGGGAATTACTTTCAGTTTCATTTAACCCCGACACCACTACATCAAATTTTCTCAAATATTTGTTATTACCATAGTTGAAAGAATCACAAATTGTTTTATTGCTCCAAGACGTTGAATTAAATTCCCGCAAATTATCAACACCATACAAGTTCCAACGAACAGTAGGCCCAATTGGTTGTGTGACCAGAAGCAATGAAGTGAAGAATAACAAGAAAGCTAGTCCGTACGCTGAACCTCCAATCCATGAAAGAACCCTTGGATAGGCAACCATTGTTGAAGCTCCTTCAGGTGAACCTGAAGTCAGGGCTGTCCAAGACATAAAGCACAAATCCTCCAAATATATGATTAACTACCTTAACTTCCTAATATCATTTTCCAAATCACAAGTCGCTCAAATATATGATTTACTAAATTCTTGGCTCCTGTCTCCACAAATATCAAAGCTCAAGTTTGATCTTCAAGTTCCTTCCGTTCCGTGTACTTGTTTGTATTCCTTCACTAAAACAGCCAAGGACACTTTCAACAAACAATACTTTCCATAATTGCTTCTAACAAGAAGCTGCTATTGAATTTCAGTGATTAATTCACCATATATCATCAAAAATGAATCTCCTACAGATACATCAAATCCAGTGTGCTATCACTGTACTGTATGAACACAAATCAAACAAAATTTTCAATAATAATAATGAGAAACAGTTAAGGAAACACCAACACAAATTTAAAAAGCAAAACAAAATTATAAATGCTAGAAGCTCCCCTTTTGCTAATACAGTGTTGTGGAATAGAAAACAAATCAAAACTTGCTCCATTTGGTTAGTTTTTATAACTT